CACGCTTTGTAATTGACAAACTTGCAAGAGCGTATCTCCCCTTCTGTTTGAGGCGCTACGTTGGATTTCTACTCACTGCTGTAGCGTTATAGGTGTGTAGGGGACATAAAAAAGACCATTGAAACAATTATTAACGAGGTGATTTGTGAATATTTATTAGCAATCACACTCCGATAAACTGTTACGTCATTCGTACCGAATTGGTTTTTTGCGAAGACTGTCGATATCAGCGCAGCGAGAGATGAAAGTAGTTGCTCTCGTTAGTGGTGGCAAGGACAGTTGCCTTAACATGCTTCATTGTGTAGCAAATGGTCATCAAATAGTCGCATTAGCTAATTTAAGACCACCTTCACATTCCAACAAAGGTCTTTATACAAGTTTTCTTTCATTATATGATAAATATCACACACCGCTGTTTACTAAAGTCTATTTGTCTAAAATTGCATAGACGAATTAGACAGCCATCTTTACCAAACCGTTGGTCACGATGCAATACCACATTACGCTTCATGCATGAACCTTCCCTTATATCGTCGGTCAATCACCGGCTCTTTGCTCATTCAATCTACTTACTATCGCACTACTCAAGGGGATGAGACTGAAGATCTATACGAGCTACTAAAAGAAGTGAAAGAACATCATCCTGATATCCAGGGTGTGTCTGTTGGCGCGATATTATCTAACTATCAACGTGTTCGTGTTGAGCATGTGTAAGGATATGAAGATTTGGTGAGAATAGGGGATTATTGATATTTAAGACTCATACATTTTATTTTTGGTGGTATGTAGGTGCGATAGGTTGGGGTTAACGTCCCTTGCTTATCTCTGGAGAAGAGATCAGAAGGAATTATTGGACGAAATGATTAAACTTGGTCTCGAGGCCGTTTTTATTAAAGTTGCCGCCATTGGTTAGTCGTTACTTGCGAATAACTAAGTTATGTGATATGAACCGAGTATTTATACATTCTGCAATTTTCATAGGACTAGAATCCTCGCATCTCGGCAAGTCAATTAGAGATATGCGCTCATCTTTATTTGAATTGGTATGCTGCATGTGATCTGCCATTATTGTTTAATATTTGATTGTTCTGACGAATTATCGACCGACATCATAACAGCACGAGAAATATGGTGTTCATGTGTGCGGCGAAGGTGGTGAATACGAGACACTGACAGTCGATTGTCCATTGTTCGTAAAGAGACTCATAATGTGAGTATATCAGTTCAAGTTAATTTGACGGTTTATAAATGAATATTCCAGTCAAAGTTTGCTTACTATCCGTATCCCCACTGCTTTGTTTAAATTCAGCGCGGATACTGAAATTGTGACTCATTCTGATGACGCATTTGCTACTGTTGCGTATCTTAAATTGAAGAAGGTGTTAGTTCAGGATAAGCCACCAAATAATGTGGATTTTGAGTCCATCATTAAGAGGCCATCGTGGGAGAACAGCATCGAGCCTATCTTAGCAAATGCTAGCTCTATTGTATGTAATTACGATAATTGATAAGACGGTATAAACTTATCAATAACGTTGATTATGAATTATAAGTCTTTGTACGTATTAGAATATTCAAGATCCTAAACCGTCTACCGTACCCGCTATTGTCAATGACATGGAAGATCAATCAAACGGCGGAGGTATTACCTTTCTCTCGTTCTTATTTTTTTATTTACTAATTGATTATTGCGTCTAACCGTCTATCAGATTTGACCGTTGCTTCATGCTCCAGGTCAACATTCCACTTTATATCAGGAGTAACAGCGTATGATAATAATAGTATGGTAGCAAATGGTTGCACCATAGAAGAAGAGACGAGAGCATGCATGAATAACATAAAAGGTTGGTTGGAACATATGAACGTTGGTGTCTTATCGAATACGTCATCTATGATATTAATTTAAGTTTGCAAAAATTTCGTTCAGGTTATCTGGATAAACTAGATTTGTCCTTTGCTGACATAGTTAGTATGAATGTGTTCATCAATGATATGAATAATTTTGGCAGAATGAACGCTGTATATAAGACCTACTTTGGTATCAAACCAGCGACAAGGTACAACATAGTTATTGAAGAAATTCAAGTGATTTAACAGTCGATATTAATGGTACAGTGATGTTTGTGTATGATTTTACTAGAGCTTGCGTTGCTGTCAACTTGCCACAACCGGCGAGGATTCAGGTTGATCTTGTTGCTGTTAAAGATGGTTCACTTGAGGAAAGAGAAACGATGCACGTACAAAGCCTATCGTATTGGGCACCTGCAAACGTGGGACCATATTCTCAAGCCATCATAGTAAGCTGTTTCTGTATTTGACATTTTATATGACCAAAAATGTTATCATGGTATGCATTACTTATTATATTGATTTATCAATTAATAGTCTCAGAATCACGCATTCATAGCAGGTCAAATCGGTCTCATCCCGTCCAACTTGCAACTTCCCCCTTCACTCCAGTCTCAAGCCGCATTATCATTACATAACCTACAGAGCATTACAACCGCCCTTAATCTCAATCTTAAGCAGAGAATATTACTATGTTTGTGTTATGTTGATGAAGAGAAATCTATTGGTGCGGTTAGAAGAATGTGGGAGTATTTCAGCAATGAGGACAGCGATGATAGTAATTTGAGACCATCTCCGGTATTGTATTTGGTTGTGCCCGTTATTCCAAAAAATGGAAAAGTTGAGTGGCATGCGACTGTGGATGATGGAAAGGACACTGGAGTAGCGGGATGCAAAGGTATGCATTTTCGCGATATCAATAAACATGAAGGCCATGTTGACTTATATACTCGTTCTTTGTCGAAGACGTTGTCGACGTTGCCTCCGGTGTTAAAGCCACCATGGTCACGCGGGTTATCGGATCCACACTAAGCAGTGTAGTTAGAATTGCTACGAACAAATCAGGTGAGTTCACGCATGTTTGTTCATAACAGATTATCTGGTGATAGCTAATTAGATTATTAATCGCTCTTTCAATAGAAATCCAGATATCTCTCATTGTGGAAAGTATTGTGAACAGTCTCTCGAATATTATTTCGGCCTATGAGAAGATAAACCCGTTATGTGGATGGAACAACCTATTATCAGTGCGAATATTCTATAAAGAGAGCGTGTTCAAGGAGAATAAGAGTCAGTTGCAGAGAGGTTGGTGTTGCGATATTGTATAATATCTGTTATATACTATATCGTAAATATTATTTCATTAATGAAGATTAGTTTCTGCAGCCACATTAATATTTCTCTTTCCGTTGTAATGCTACTATTGGATTTTCATCAAAAATATCCGCATTTCACTCCGTGTCTGCTTAATGCAAAAATTTACGTCAATTTTGATTTCTATAGGTTTAAATACTGCTTTAAAGAACAAAACGGAATTGGATACTATCCCGGCCATTTCTTACGTTCCTGTAATTTCAATTGACAATGATGGAAGTATCCTTGGTCTAGTCGTGCACGGTGTGTAAATGAAGCTTACCATTATCTACTCACTAAGAACGGTAATCGTAGTATTGGCAGTGTCAATCTTGGACAACCATTTTGATAATAAATGCCTAAACAACGCTATATTGAAGATGTTAGAGAAAGAAACAGTAGGATTTCTGAATTAGAAGAGCAGGTGTTCAAATAAAAAAGTCTACGATTTCGCATGAGTATGACAAAGAAAAAAGGTTGGGATGGGGGCGTAATGTATCAAGTGGGTCCCGCATTTGCCTGCAAGTCAAGCTGCCATGTGTATTACCACACTGAGTTAACACGTATTTTTTCTACTTAGACTCAAATTTTTCTTTTTCGTATTAATATCAGTTTGCTGAAAGAGAAACTCGAGTGCTAATTCTTCAGCTGCTCTATTAGATGTACTGCATAAAGTCTATTGACTTAATATCTTCCATGCTTGCTCGGCTGTTCTCTCTTTCTATCACCGCTTGGCTCTATGTCCGAGTCGAGATGTGATCAATTGTTTTTCTGTACAAAAAACTAAAACCTGCAGACTATTTTAATGTTGTACAGCCCATACTTATTATTATTGATCATTCATGTTTTTAAGAGATTTATCTAATTTGCTGTTGAATAACCCTGTTACTATTACTATTACTGTATATTCTTTAAGGCTTTTCCCCAATTCATTTTCAATTATTTGAGCGAGCTAATTCCGCTCAAGCCCATTTACTAAATTTGGTAAAGGAGATAGCTAGAAAAAGTAGCAATTTCTTTCTGCTGTATACTAATTATGGCACTTGGAGATTTGCGTTCTTTATTATCTACACCTACGAATATATCTAGCACTGGGTAATCCAATCTCATTACTAAATTTAGCAAAGCAGCTACTACTAAATATGGTAGGTGAGGTAAGTCACATTGTTATGGTCAGAACATTTGACTATGTGAGCTATATGAACATTTAGGAAGACATTCTTTTAGCTCGCGCTCTTCCGTGGGACTTGTTTTTTAAAATAGTAAACTTAGGTCCGGCAGTTAATTTTCTATAGGTTAGAAATTTATAGGCAAATTTAACAAATAGCATAATAAAGTGTTTCGCTATCGCTATAAGAAGGTTTATCCTCGTCACATAAGAATTGTCTTATAACGAGTGAGTCTCGATATAAGAAAATTTCGATATAAGAAAGTAATTTGCTAGATCCTGATCACTTTCTTATATCGAGAGCCACTTGTATTAATGTCTATCAAATAAAACAAGGTTACCTAATTTTCATCTCCGCCACATCAAAAAATGTTTCTATCTGGCCATAACGCGAAAAAGAAACTCTCTGCACATACATTACGTCGTTTGTCCAAGCAAGAAAAGATAAATTCCAAGACCTCAGAATCAGGAACAAAGTTTCAAAGTACAATCCCATTCGTAGTTGCTAATACCCTTTACTATTATGTTAACCAAAAATAAAAACCCGGCCGGGCATCCTATCACCAGCCAATCTCTAGTGATTTTGACATGTGATACGCCTTATCGAAATCGATAACTTTCGCTTCTTATAATGCGACCATCGATTATTGCCTTGGCTCGCTCAACATGGAAAGGTAATATTGATGTTTCATCTACGAAAGCGTTTACAGCGGAACATTTGTTTTATAAAGGCTTACAAATCGTCTCCTCTTCTGCGATAGGCCCACATTTTGTGCAGTTTCCAGGTATATTATCTCTGCTACTGTCACCCGACGACTGGCTTGAACTTGATCTGTATTACTATAATCTCCAACTTTCGCTTACTGTTCTACTATCCATGTTCTCGGAATTGTTATCATCATGGCCAGGTCTTCGTATAGCCATGGAGAATAGCATTGCAATACGTACAAACGCACGAGCCTGTACTATTCTACCTGCATTTGTTGGACTAAAATTTGCAGTGTATAATGGAAAAGATTATCTTACGGTGAACGTAACCGAAGAAATGGTTGGTCACAAGTTGGGCGAGTTCGCCCCCACTAGGAAGAGGTTTTCGTATAAATTTACGAAAAATAAATAACCTTAAGCACTATGGTGATAATGTGAAGGCAAATTCGAGAACGTTACATGTCACAGATCTTTTCGCTGCCTCCGAACTGCTTAGAGAGCTATCTGATGACATTCGATTGCGTGTACGAATTATTTTTTCATTTGTGAAAAAAAAAATAAAGACTACCCTTTCTAAGGAGAATAATTTGATGTATAGATCGCAATCAGTGTTAACGTTAAAATGAAAGCCGTATCAGAACGAACAAAGCAAATGAAGAGGTAGTTAATTCGAAAGAAATTTTGCGTCAACATCTATTAACAGTAGACAAGTCCTGAGGACATGTGGAAGCTGTATTCATCCAGATCTTGTAAAATTACCAAACTCATACTTGACATTATTAAGGCGCTGTGCACACATTGTTAGGTCAGCCTTGATATCATCTTGACAAAAAAAAGCACTTACTCAGCTTGAATAATAGCAATATTTTGTCTTGTTCAGGCAAAGCATGTTGGGGGTTAACTATCGATCCCAAACTGTGATTGCATAACCTCGAGTGTTTGTAACGAAAACAAAGTCTATACAAGCAAGCTAATAATATTAGATTGCTGTGATTGTTATTACGTAATAAAAGGCTTCGTTCTAAATCCCGCGCTGCTGCAGTACTAGTATTAGTATGTAGTATTGGCTTGTGACTTGTGCTAAATAAGGTAATGATAGTCGTACTTTCCCGCTCAATCAAATGAACAACTAAATATTCAAATTATGCCCCTTTTCTTCTTCTTACACCTTACTAAATGACTGCAGAAGCTATAAACGCTGCACATACTTTTGTGCATTATCATTGCTCTTGTCCAGATGTCAACAGGAGTTTATCTTCATTGACACTGAAAGAGAACGAAGCGAAGAATAATGATAAGAAAATTGTTGGGGATAGGGACGACGACAATAACACAGAGCTCAATAAAAACAGAGAGTATGCAAATACTACAAAAGAAGACGCATTGTTCCCACTGGACGCGTATTCTCCAAGAACCGTATTTTCGACTTTTGCTCTAAGTAAATTATATTTTTGTGAGGATTGTCATCAAATTAGATGCCCTAGATGTGTTCAGGAAGAAATCGTTTGCTACTACTGTCCAAATTGCTTATTCGAAGTGCCTACAGCCAGTGTTAAAAGCGAGCGGAACAGGTGAGCCAGAGACCGTGAACATTTCGACGAAAATCGAATTAATTCGAATTTAATCAATGATCATTTACGCATACATTGTTCTTTGTTCAATAATTTTGTTTTTTCTAATAATTCCATTTCACTGTGCAGATGTGCAAGAAACTGTTTCCAATGTCCGATCTGCCAGAACACGCTTACTGTAGTTGCTAGTACAGAACCACCTCCAGTGACGCCAGCTACGGCTGTTCCGCCTCGATTATTACCTAATGCTGCCCCAGCACCCTCTCCGCCAATACCTACACCGCAACCAACCGGGGCACCTTATTTTCTGTTGTGTGGGGTGTGTAGATGGGATTCACAGGAGATAAACATGACCTTCGAAAAGGCTACTGGATTGGCGCGTAAGTTGTTGAAAACGTTGAGAGTATTTACTTTGTTTGTTTTTTTTTTTAATTAATGTCAACCGTCTTCAATAGTTCAATTACAGAAAACTGAAGATGAGAAACCAGACGTCAAAGAATTTGAACATCTTAAGGAACATTTTGAAAAACATCTGCGTACGAATGCACCGTCTACAACGCTTTCGTCACATCTTTTTCTTTTTCCGGGATTGAATGGATTTAGTTCCCGCTACGGTAGTAGTGGCTCAACACAAAACCAGCCGAAAAGTGATGATGTTGCACCGTATGAAGCGGCTGTCAAAGTCATCGAAGAAGAAGGACTGATTGAAGAATTGAAAAAATTGGATAATCCCAATGCTGGTTAGTTTTAGAAAATATCATGGAAGGATAGAAACGTTGTTTAGGAAACTTTACATGCCTATCGTTTTGATTCGTGTAGTCACAACATTGACCCAGAGGCTCGATCAGCTGAGTGATCAACCGTATAAAGTCGAGTGAGTATTCTTCATTTATCAGACATTACGGATATAAAAACCATATTTTAATGATTACGAAACTCAATTTAGTCATTTTACATATTTGCGTCAGGAAATTACAACCACAACGGATTCATCTGCGCACGAAGAGAGTCAAGAGGTGTCGAACATGTCACCACATTCTTATCAAGCCTGAGCAAAAAGCGCAGGCAATCAAATTCAAGATTAAGCTTGTTGCGTTGTGAGTATATTATTATCAGTTTATATTGCGCGCTTAGCTGATACGCGTGTAAACAAGGGATAAAACTATTTATTAAAAATACTGGTTCACAGACAATTTCCGTAATATTACCTAGAAATTATATTCCCAAGATCACGATAGCGAAGTTGCCAAAGCTTACGGTGAATCAGAAGACACATGTTATATTAAAGTTTTCCAATCCTCTCGATGTTGAAGTCGACATAAAGTTAACGACGAAGGAGAAGGACGCTTATGGCACGGTAATATATAGGGGCACAGGATACACGTTCTGTGTTGTTATATACCAATTATTCATAACATATATTTTACTATTACTCATAATTTGTATTATTTGTAAGTAGATCACTATGCCTACGTCAGAATTTGCGATCTCACCATATAATGAAGTATGGGAATATGATGATGAGGATTTCGGCACTGATAATAGATTGCCATCAAGAGGACGCCACTCACAAGCAGCAAGCACGCACGGAACGGAAGGAATTTTCGAGAAAAAAGGAAGTTATACGAGTATCATCCTCGAAGTCACTCCTTTGGTTGAAATGGACGAATTCAGGGTAAGTTACCGATTGCTGTATCGCAAACTGTCAATTGCGTACTCATCTCATCATTGTATCGACTCAGTTTCCTCTACTAGTAACTTACACGTACAAGGCAACAATTGAGATATCAACGCAGGACGACGCAAAACTCGACAAACTTTCTACGAATAAATCTGATGACGTAGATAAAACTGACACCGATATAGACACATCGACGGCAACAGCAGAGACATCAGCAATCACACCATCTACTAACGCTGATACTGACAATGAACCCGAAGCCATCCTGACTAAAGAAATTACCAAGAGCCTATCCTTCTGTACTATAATTGGGTTAGGAGCCGTTGCAAAGGTGTCCTCTGCGCCGCCCACTTCATCTAGCTCTAAGACTCCAACCGGGGTTGGGTCATCAAGTAATACATAGTCAACCTCGATAAGTCGGCCCACGTGGGCTGGGCTATTTATCGACTTATCGAAAGCACGTGTCCTAAACGAATATAATAAATTTAATTTGCAAAAAAACTATCTAGAGTAGTTTGTTTCATTGAATTAATTTGTTTCTTCCTTATTTGATTTTGTAAGTCTCTTATTTTAATACTAACGAACAATCTATGCTGAAGTCATTCTGTTGTTGTAAATAACGCAATATATTTTCGACACCATCGTTACTGTCACACTCTTCCGCAGCTGTTTCTTGAACTAAAGCGATGATTTCATCATCTTTTATGTCGGATTTCTCCAAACTTGAGTCAATATTAATGTAATCTTCTGCATTAAGTTGGGCTGCGTCCGTTTGATTGATATTGTATTTTCAATATCTTCTTCGGCATCAATTAACATGTTATCGTCTTCGGGTATAATACCAGTTCTTTGCCAACAACGGTAGTTATCACTCACATTTTTCCATGCTTGTGCCGTCCAATTTATTGCATGAAAGATATTTAGGTCAGGAATTTCATAACCATAGTTGTGAAAGGGGAGGCAATCATTTCGCCGACAATCATTTCACCGACAAATGTTCACCAACATTATTTCAAAATTATCCTTTTTAGGTAATTAGTTGTCGGTGAAATGATACAGACCCTTGTGAAAGTCATCGAAAGCGTCGACAGAGCAGTTTTCTGTAATGTGCCTAAAATTTTCTAACAAATAGTCAGTTTGAGAAAAACTCAATCGTTGCACAAATAATTAAACAACAATTAATGGATAATAATAAATACTTTGAATGAATATATTATACCCTGGTCTATTGTTTGAATATGTGCGGTAGTATTTGGCGGCAATAATGCAGTTCAATATTATTTAATCTCTCATTCTCCTCCAAATGATGCGACGATGCATTATCCACTATCAACAAAATATGTCTTTTCTTTTGTCGCATTTCTTGATCGACAATTCTTATCCAGCTTCGAAAGATAGAACACTGCATCCATGCCGAATTATTCCAATAGTATAAGACGGGAAGTGTCTTTTTATCTATATTGCTGATGCAGCGAGGATTTTTAAATTTGTAAATAAAACTGCCGGCAATTTATGGGTGCTGGTTGCATTGCATGCAAGCATAATTGTTATCCGATCTTTAGGTTTTTTCGTTCCAATAACAAAGTTTCTGGCAAAAGATTTATTCGGTTCTAGCTTCCAATAAAGTCCGGTTTCATCTGCATTGTATACGTCTTCTAAATCATACTTTGCGATTAAAGACTGCAATTCCGTCCTATAAGCTGGCAAATCTTGAATTGGCGCACTTGCCGCCTCTCCTGATTTACAGTAGTCTTTAATGTTATTCCTTCGTTTAAAGTTCTCTACCCATCCCTATTTGACAAATGATAATTAATGACTGATTAATTGGTTACATAAATTGCATAAATTACCAACTAACTGCTGTTGCATTGAAGTATGAGATACCCAATTTTTGAGCACATTCCAATGCCTTTTGAACTAATATTGCACCAGTTACTGTATTGTTTGCTCGGTTAGCAAGATCAATCCACATGACTAACGCGTTCTCTATGTTTGGCCATTCACATTCACGATCACGTTTCTTATTGACAGCTATCGTTTTTCTGCAATTGCAAGCCATTTTTCTTTTGTTCTGAGAATATCTCCTACTGTCGATTTACCAATTTGAAATAAATCTACAATACTTTCATGGTTTCATTTGGATGAGCAGCTTTATATTCACATAAAAATTTTTTCCCAATGACTGTAAGAGTTTTCAGTTTTCTTCCCTTATTAGAGTTAACTACAGTAGATTCCATTTGCAATTTATATTATTATTGAATACCAACGCGAATAATTATTTGGTATCGTTGTAACACGATTTTCTTAACTAATAGGAAGAACACGGTTGTCACGTGAGACCGACTTATAGGTATATACAACTATTGAGCTGTTAATGAGATGGAAGTCTGCTTTAACAAAGTTTTTGGCGTAACAAAGAACTTGGTTAAAACGGACTTTACTGTGTACCATCTATTAGCGTTAGGCCGTTAATTTTTTTACTGTAAAAAATTCTAATTCTGTAATTTTGGAATTTTCGTCGTAGATAACAGCTTGTTAAGAATGGCCTCATCGAGAAATTATATAGATTGGCCGACTTATCGAGGTTGACTATGTAGTACTTGATAAGGATAAACGCATTAATTGTTAATTCTAAAAATTTAGCCCGACGCCTGCCTCAATTTAATTGGAGGATTCTTTCGCAAGACGATGGTAATCATGTTAGACACCTATATAATATAAAGAAAGAATATTAAGATAAAACCTAAAGGTGAAGAAGTTAATAAACATTGATAAAAGGAATTGATGAATTCCAAGGTGAATTTCACTTGCCGCGTCAAGCAGAAGATTAGTTTTTTATACCTCTCACCAATAATAGGATTATTGACTCGCATACTATTACGCAATCGCCGACAATGATTTCAAAAATGCAACAAGCTTGGCCAAATCATGTACCAATTACTAATATATGCCTGGCATAAGAACATTGTACACTAGATTCGCTATAACACTACGAAATGTATTTTACTACTCCAATTAACATTGGGACTGTTCGAAAATTGATTAGTACAAACTCTACATAAAATTTAGCTTTGCATGGCCAACTCAATAATTAAAGTTAAAATTTAAAGCCAGCAGACTTTAGTTACGGCATTATTCAAGGTACACGTCTTACCATGTTATCGATTCAAATTGGAACGCGTTTTATGGGTAACCTCCTCTTTCAGACCAAACTCTAACCGTGACGTTTTGTTTTTTTTTACGGTTTTAGCGCTATTCATAAAAAGAGATGGCAAAAAGAGAGGGGATATTCGTATGTGCTTATAGCAATTATTTTCTTTCACAAATTCACGCCTAATTTATCCTTAAAATCGACAAATTGATTTATTCTAATCGTTTTTTGTTGTTTAATATGTATTATTCCAGAACGCAGATTCCTAAAATCTAAGCTATGCTGAACCAAAACTCTGTCGCTACGCATTTCATATTATCAAACATTGAATAAGCAAAAAAAAAAATTCTGATTTATAATTATTATCAATATTAATACCTGGTAATAATGATTTCTACACTCAAGAGCTTGGTTTCTATAACATCGTAACAACATACAGTAGTTCATAATGTTATGTCGCGAGATCGATAATTATCATCATTATCAGTATTATTATAACAATAAGAAGATTGAAACACGTGACTAATGCATTTATATTAATATAGCAATAGTAATAGTGGGACAATCGTAAATCACTTCGGAGCGAAAATTCTCTTTCAAACTGCAGTGCTCTTTATGATACTGCGTAGTCCACTATCACAGTTGGTAAAGATCTCTACTCAACAAATACGGACTGGCCATTCATCGGTTGTAGCATTTGGCAAAGCATGCCGAACGGAGACTAATTCGAAGAATCTCTGGAAAAATTATTTGGCTGTGTTAGATGATTGTAGGCTTGACGAATTAGACAGATACACCGTAAGGCGATTTCTGAGGAGACTGAGTAAGCTCGATGATGTGAGCCAACGAGCTGCCAAAACCAAGAAGGTACTGAAAGATTTGGCAGAGATTGGATTTCACGCTCATCAGGTCGAAAGAAATTATTTAATCGAGGCATATTTAAGCGTAAATAAACTTGCCGAAGCGAGAGAAACATTTGATCACATACACAATTTAAAACCACCGTTAGCTAGAGACTACTGTCCATTTTGCCCTGCCTTTAATATGATGATAGAAGCGTATGGGAGCAGAGGTGATTTAGAGGAAGCCAGAAAGCTGTATCAGTATATGTTTGAAAAAGGTGTTAAGCCGGATGCAAAAACACGATTGATAATAACAGCAATATTTAAGAAAAATTTATCGCCAACAACGCTCGAGTGGTTTTACGGGCTGATTGAGTCTAAATTAATTGACGATGGAACCGGGAAGGAAGGAATAATTGTATTAACAGATGCGGGAAATTTAGATGGAGCCTTAGAACTGTTCAACAAACTCAAGTCATTAGGTTATCAAATGGATGCACATGTATATGCTCGTTTGGTTAGCCTACTCACGCGACATGGACGTTTGGTTGAAGCAATAGATTTGGTTAAAGAGCTTAAGGTGAGCGGTGTTTCGATTGATACTGTGGCGTATAATGTTATGCTGAGAGCGCATATACGATCTAACGAACCGGAACAAGCTATTAAAGTTATTGATGAAATGATAGAAGCAAAAGTATATCCAGTTCTTCGTTCATTCGAAATAATGGTTGATGCGTTTGCTAATGAAGGACAAGTTAAGCCAGCATTAATAACATTGAAAAAGATGCATGATTTAGGAGTAAAGCCAGACGCCCACTTGTACACTTGTCTGATCAAATTATTTGCTAATGTTAATGATATCGACGCAATGGAAAAGATGTTTCGCCACATGGTAGAGAAAGGCTTTGATGCCAATCTAATTACGTATACTATACTGATGACAGCTTATTGTCGTAATTACGATATAGAGAAAGCCATTCTGATCTCTAACGCAATGCTGAAAGCAGACATACTACCAGATGCCAGATTGTTTAATGCATTGATTAGTATATGTGGCGAAAGAGCAGACTCGGATGGTGCCATGATGTTACTTGATGATATGAAAATGCGGAATATTCTTCCTGATGTTTACACGTATACATCTATCATGAAAGCATTTGTTAAAGCCACAGACATCAACGGAGCAGAAAGAGTTCTACAATCTATGATCACTTCAGGAATTAAACCGCACGCTGTGACATATAACATATTACTCGATTATTTCGTAGAACAACGAGACGTTATGCAAGTGCGACGGATTTATGAAGAGATGTTATATGCTGACGTCCGTCCGGATATCAATACTTATGGTTGCTTAATGCAAAGCTACTGTACAATGGGAGATTTCAAAGCAGCCTTTGAACTTCTCATACACATGGAAAATGTAAACGTAAAACCAGATGTCCAAATTTATACGATACTTATAAACGCGTACATGCGTCGGCGTGACTTTGTTGCAGCCGAGCGAACATACGAAACACTTATTTCTAAGGACTTCATACCTTCGTACTTTACATACGCAGTACTCGTTGACGGCCATGCCAGGAAAGGGGATCTTGGCTTCGCAAGGAAACTTCTAGGCGAGCTTATTGCTCATTCCGAGTTGGAATCTCAAGATTCTGAAATGGTAAGACACAAGGCGTTTCCACAATATTTGTTTACTCCTATAATGGATGCATATGCTAAGCAAGCTCAGAGTGATGCAGCGCGTGAAATATTTGAGGAGATGGTGTTACTCGGTATCAGACCAAACGAATATGCATATACGATATTAATGGATGGATATCGTCGTGGTGGAAATTACGAAGCGGTGTGGCACATGTGGAAAATATTGCTTGGAGAATTTGGGGATAAGTCTTTGTTATCAGATAAAAATGTATTGCCAATTAGACATGTCAAATCGACAACTGAGCGAAATCAGATGAAATTCGAAAAAGTTTTTTCAAAAATCGCATCGTTCTCCCCAAAGTTCCGAAAGATGCCTTTTCATGCACTATCCATACTATTGGAGACACTTACTGCAGCAGGAAGATATGACTTGGTGGAGCAAGAATGGCAACGAATGCACAGTCAAGGCTTTAAATTTGATGCACATAATTATAATCACTATGCCCAGTCTCTTGTTGCATCTGGAAATATTTTGAAAGCATGCATTGTTATAAAGGATCATCTTATCAAAGGATGGGATAGTCGTTTGGCACATTGGCGACGAACAGCAACGGGTACACGCTTTGAAAAGAGACAACGAAAAGCAAAATTAATCGAACAGAGCACTTCATTTTATCCACATAGAAAAACACTCATGATGCTTAAGAAAGTTTTTGATCAGTTGCGTAGTGGAGAATGGGATAGTTTAAACATCGGTACAGACCAAAAACCGGGTAACGAACTTTGGACACATATTACGGAACATTACAGTGATATTGTGGCAAGCGTTGCAGACATGAACGAGTTTATCGAGTGGGAGCGAAGAGATCAGACGATGTATGAACATACGAGAAGATCGATCTAGACTTTCACAATAAGGAGAAGAGGAGGTAAGTTGCAATTGACCACAATTGATAACTTGACGCGACCTGCATGCATAAAAATCTTGATATACAGTATGTCTCAAGAATAATTGCGGTTACAAAAATTGAGTTTACTCAACGTCTACCATAGATAGCAAGCTAAAAACTTTATTTTGAAGATCTACATACACTTAGTATGGAATTCTATCCCCATTATTTTCTAAAATAAGCTCGCAACGTGTTTTGACTGACCGAATCATATTAACTATGTGCTGTTGTGGAACCGCCTCCCATTCTTCTGTCAAAAACTGCTTTAACTGCTCAATATTTTGAGGCATTCTTTTTTCAACATTATTTTTTATAATTTGCCACAAGTTTTCAATGGGGCTATTTGATGGCCAGTCAATTACGTTTACCCCACTTTTTGCTAAAAATTTTTTAGTAACCCAGGAGGTATGCTTGGGATCATTGTCCTGTTGCAGCCTCCATTTGTTGTGATACATACTCTGAGCTGCAGATAAAAGCTAGTCCTGCAAAATGTTGACATAAAACTGACTGTCCATAATATTAGTAAAACAAATTAGAGGCGTTTTTCCTCGCCTCCCCAAGCAAAAACCTTTTGTCGCGTTTTGGGCAATCTCCTAACTAGTTTTGTCCCACTTTGGTACCAACGTCGAACTTTATTTCTAAAGAGGTCGAACGCATTTTCATCTGTAAATATAGTATTATGCCATTTATCGTTCATATGAGATCTTGCCCATGCAATACTAATACGTGCATTGACATGTTTTGTGTAAGCATCGGAGTTCCAATGGGCACGGAACTCTGATATCCCTTTTTTTTGTGTCTCCAGACAGTATTATTATTATGTGAAATTGTAGTACCATACTTATTTTCTATTTGTATTGCCAGTTGTCTTGTTGAAACAGCAGAATTGTGTCGTATATACTGAAATACAGTCCTGGACATATTATGTGTAACCTTCCGCGGAGGTCCTGATTTCTTTCTATGCGCTACAGTTTGCGTTTCTTTAATTTTTTTAGATTATATTCAATAATTCGACAGTCTTCTGGTGAATATCTTTAGGAGATCGGATATTATTCTGCCAGAATTGTAGTATGGTCTGACGTTGGGTTTCAAGTCGAGAATTTACCATATTGCGATTAAAAGTCTAACGTAAAATTTGTTTACGCAGGTGTTTTATACAAAACTAACAAAACGAGACACGCAGACAACGCCTGTCTAAATTTATTAATAAAATAATGGTCGTCCTATAAACCACGAGACACACTGTAACGACCAAACCTATTGCGGATGGCTTAATGACTAGGTCGTCGACGTAATGAATGTGGGTACAAGAAGATGCCCTGTAGCCAAAATTTTTCTGATTGAAAAAAAGATTATTCGACATAACGAAGTTAAAGTAAACTCTTCGTAACTGATATAGCGAACTGACAACATTAGTAAATTGTCTCTTGTCGTAACAATTTGACCAAGTGTGGTAAAATGTAAACGCATTGAAGACCTTTTTTTCTCCACCCGAATATTAGTGAAAGTCTATTATTATACCAATTAAATATAAATTGCTGATCGTTGTTCAAATGCAAATTCGGTATGTCAAGGAAATTGAGGTAGTAGAAACATAGCTCAGACAAAGTGAGCCCCTAATTAGAAAAAAGATGAACCAGAGCTATTTACTCGTAGAAGGCATTGTATTAGAGACACAATAATAAATACTAAACACACATTCTATCGTATGGGGTGGGAATGTCTTTGAATTCTTGTGGCACCATGTATGCATAACAACAGGTATGAAATTCGTTTTACATCTTTCAAATTTTATCCTTCTCTAGCATGGCTCCAATTGATTATAATAAAGTCAAATTAGTTTCAGCTAAGCATCCTAAACCACCTGGGGTGAAATTTACTTATGGAACTGCTGGGTTTCGTATGAAGTATGTACAGCCACATTTGCAATTTTTCAATGTACTATATTGGTTTTCATTATTATCGATTCGATTAGAGCCGAATTGTTAGATTCGGTGACGTTTCGCGTTGGAATTTTGGCTTCTTTGAGATCAAAGAAGCTAGACTCTAAGACAATTGGCGTCATGATCACCGCATCACATAATCCTGAAGAGGTGCGAAACACTAAAATAATCAAATATATCGTATTGTTGGTATTCGTTGTGAATATGTATAGTTATGTTCATGATTAACGCAGGACAACGGAGTCAAACTCGTTGATCCATACGGGGAGATGCTCGAACAATCCTGGGAAGAACATGCAACTAAGCTCGCAAACGCTGAATCAGACGATGACTTGGTCAACGTTATACAGGATATTATAGTTAACACAGGTCTTGATGGATCGAAGGATTCTTCTGTTGTTTACGCTAGAGACACAAGGTTCCTATATGCCTTTTTCTAACGCTGCTTGTTTACCGAAAGCGCTGTTATATAATATCGAATATCGATGCTGTACTCAATCCGATTAGTTGATATATAGACCCAGCGGTCCAGCACTAGTTGCCGCTGTCGAGGATGCGTTAAAAGTTCTTGGAGCCAAGGCTTTGGATTTTGGTGTTAAGACTACACCGGAACTTCATTACGTCACGCGTTGTCTGAATACTGCGGGCACAAAAGATGCGTATGGGGAGCCAACAGAAGAGGGCTACTTTAAAAAATTGGGCGATGCATTTAGGGAACTGGTGGTATGATTATTTATAATATTGCGATTGAATATACAAGCAAACAGATTGCAGCCACCCAGACATAGTATCGTTGTTATATAATAGGAACAGAAGCCTCATTTATCGGCATTGACCGTCGATGCAGCCAACGGGGTCGGTGCGCCGAAAGTACGTCAGTTATCTGAAGTTGTTGGCAAGTTCATTGATCTCAGAGTAGTGAATGATGATATTTATACTAAGGGCAAACTTAATTTCCAAGTAAGTCGTGTAATAGTAATTGCGACTTTTCTTCATATGCACACAATTATTTAATACAGTCATGTCTAGTGCGGAGCAGATTTTGTGAAGACGCAACAGAGAGCTCCTCCCGGAATGAATCTCGTCAGTGGAATGCGAGCATGTTCGCTTGACGGTGACGCCGATAGAATTGTTTACTATTATGCAGATGAGGGTAGGTGAGAACGATATCTCTTTTAGACACAATTATATTACTAACTTCTCATCGCCTGTTTCATTAAAGATGGGAAATTTAGATTGCTCGATGGTGATAAAATTGCCGGCCTCGCCGCAAGCTTCATAATTGATCTTGTGAGGACAGCAGGTATTGGTGACATCAAGATCGGCGTAGTCCAAACTGCATACGCTAATGGAAGTTCGACAGCGTATCTGACTAATGTTTTGGTGGGTATTCTCAAGATAATCCTAAACCGCGTATATGCAATGATTATTATAACAATTTATATTGTAGAAAGTGCCAGTTTCCTGCGTACCTACTGGAGTAAAGCATCTTCATCATGAAGCAGAGAAATATGACGTTGGTGTTTACTTTGAGGCAAACGGTCATGGAACCGTTCTCTTCAGTTCTCATGCAATAAACTCAATTCGATCTGCCAAGGGGTGAGCGTAGCATTTAGTAGCTACTATTTTCGTTTCAAATTACACTAAAAGTGGTTGATGACGTTTCATTCATAATTCGGATCAGCGGGACTCCCGAGCAAGTAACGGCCATTAACCAATTGAGCGCTCTCACTAATCTCATTAATCAAACCGTTGGAGATGCAATCTCTGACATGCTATTTGTTGAAAGTATTCTCATGAATAAACAAATAACTTTAAGACAGTGGGATGAAGCTTACACCGATTTACCCAATCGGTTAGTCAAAGTAGTGGTACGTAACTAGTAAAAGCATGCAGATACGAAATGAGCCGTTATAACGATAGTTCATTCATTGTTAGGTTGCCGATCGTCATATATTCAAGACGACAGACGCCGAGCGTAAGTTGGTTGAGCCTAAAGGTCTTCAAGATAAGATCAACGCGATTGTTGCCCCATACACAGAAGGCAGATCCTTTGTTCGGTACGTATCGATTTTGAATAGCATACAATTAGGGCTTGACAACGTCTTACTTGCGCTGTAATACTATTAGACCGTCTGGAACAGAAGATGTGGTTCGTGTCTACGCAGAAGCTGCCACTCGCCAGGACTGTGACGAGCTTGCGTTCAAAATCGCTGGTCTTGTGTTTGACGAAGCTGGTGGTGTTGGAGAACGGCCGAAGGAATTTTTATAAAGATGGAATTGAGATATAATAAATTTAATGAATAAAGGTCTTCAGACGACTGTCAGTATTCGCTGCCATAATTTTTTCTCTTGGAGACATAAGTGTTTTAGATATCGCAGTCTTAATAACTGTCTCCGGAAAGAGGCAGATATGTGTCGATGTCGAGATGGGAATGAGAATGTAATTACAAGACGCATTCTTCGTAACCAACCAAATTAATAGTTATCATAATTACTTCAAAGTCTTGAAATGCAATTCGCAAAGAGTCATTTCGAACATGTTGAACTATACTCGTGATTACTTCCCTAGGATTTCAGTCTTGTTATTTAAAATCGAGTCTATATACAACAAAATCACAAACATTGCCTGTTACTTTGGTCGTTCTAATGAAATCTACACTACAGTATGTTCTACAAAATATTTACTTTTCCTCCTTTCTTTTACGAATGAAATGTCAGTTAAATAGTTCTTGATGTTCGCGGTTTCTTACAGTTCGTATGATACAATGCCTTCGAAAACAAAAAACCTTTTTTTCGAAGGTCTCTATTGTCTGTATTTACTAAAGCACCCTGGTACAATGCCAATAATATTTAGCTTGTAAACAAGAATTAAGATGGCAATAGACAATGACAGACACTCTAATCATTCTATTTATTGAGCGAAAGGCGTTAATCCTCTTCCATCTTAATAGGTACCCATTTATCATTTTTATTTGATGACTTGACTATCAAATCAATATTAAGTAATGATTGGAGAGACTCGATATGTTGAATGTACGATTTAATCTGTTCAGACGTTGCGGGAGGAGGAACGGATAATTGGTTTTCTGTTAATTCACGATGACATACATCGCGTGCTGTGCGCTATTGATGAAATAACAATTAAAAATATGAACGACTTGATTGTGAAATGCGAAAATAACAAGATTCAAGTAAATTTACCAGTATTTTGTAAATATCGTGACAATTCGTGTTGAACTTTTCGTATGCTTGTTCCAATTTTTGCTTCAATGTGTCCGGCGGTTGCCAATCGAGATTCTCGCTAGCATTAAAATAGCAACAGTGAGCTTTAGTTTTCGTTATGGATACCGGTACAATGTTGGCATAGATACATACGCATCCATTTCTCTTTCTCTCAATTCTGTGATTTCAGCCGTGCGTCGCCATATTTGCTGGTTAAAGAGACTTCATTTAGAGCACAAGGAATTCTCAAAGGAGGGGGGGGGGAGTAAATAGCTTTGAACGATACAAAAAACTCTCTTTCACTTATTTATGACACCCACGTTAAGAGATGTACGTAATTTCTTTTGATATTCTTCCAGATCAGCATTCGAACTCATTTCTCATGTCGCCAGGAGATTACGGCAATGCAAAGACAATTTCTTTTCTTGTGTTACCTACGTATGATCAACCTTTTACTTTCCGTTATTATTATTATTATTATTATTACGTGGGCGGTTCAAAAAGTTTTGACACAAGAGGCTATCAAAATTTTATTTACATAATAAACATCAATCTAACTAT